GCCGCCGTGTCGCTCAATTTCAAACAATCCGAACAGGATCGGTCTCGCATCTCGGCATCTGATCTAGATGCATTGTTGGGTAACTCCGAACTCCGGGATTTGAAGAGCGCCTTCTGGCGTCGCTACAAGCTGCGGTTCCCCCCTGAGGTTCACCCTGCTGATGCCACGATTTCTCGGGTCACACGAGAACTCACCAAACGCATGTTGTGTGTGTACAACATTTGGCGAGTGAAATCTCTCCAATTCCAGCAGGCCACCACCCAAAAGAAAAGAAAGATCGCTGTCGCTGATTCCTTGTATGTTGAGGAAGCTGAGGAAGACGAACCTGCCAGTCGAGATGCCAACTCCTACCTGGATAAGCTCTGGACCTTACTCTTGGCCTATGCTATGGCGGGGTCCGCCGCTTATGCTACAGCTCCTAGTGTAGCCGAGGGACTAGGGTCCAATTCCGTGGAGTATGTTGAAGTGCCGGTGGATATTATTCAACAATACTTCTATCGAGCCAAACGGAGTGCAGCCCTGGTCCCGTTTAACCAGCGTCTGGAGTGGCTCCAGCAGCGAGACAACGATGAACGGTCAGAGTGGGTTGCCCGCTTTAGGGACAGTCAGAAGAGCCTAGGCCGTGTGATCCAAGAAGTTTACGCTATGCGTGATGCCCACTGGTCGGTCCCAATCACCACAAGCGGAACCCCCTCGAGTCGTTCCACACCAGAGCCGGTTACCCCAGTGAAGTCCGACTCCAATCGGTGGACTTTGGGTAATCCCATCAATGGGCGCCAGGTGGCCAAGATCCTCAAAGACGGGACTCGCCTGTGTCAGGCCTTCCAACATGGCCAGTGCAAGGCCAAAGCCAAGCATCGCTGTGGCTTGGTTCTGCGCAAGGAGCGTGCTTGTGGAGCCCCCGGTCACGGCGCGGCGGCCTGTCGTGGCCGTGGCGGGAAGAAGTGATGGGGCCCCGAGGGGGAGGACGGGACGGACTCCCCCTTAGGGGACATTGATGCTCCCCGTCCCTTGGTTGCTGACCTGTTCTGTGGGCCCAACCTGCCACTATCTAAGGCCTTCCTTTGGTGCGGGTGGCGCGCCTTGTCAGTGGACTGGCTGTTGGACAAGTCTCATGACCTTTCCAATCCGCTACGTCAGCAGTCACTTCATGATCAGCTCTCCGAGGTCGACTTTATCTGTGCAGCTTTTGACTGCTCCACCAAGAGCAGAGCCAGAGAAATTCCGCGTCAGTTTGAGGACGGCCGCCCGTGTCCAGCGCCTTTGCGCTCTGAGCAATATCCGGATGGACTGCCCACACTACAAGGACGCGACCTTCAGCGGGTCCGCACAGACAACCAAGCCTGTGAGTTTATCCTTGAGGAGATTCGACTGCTCGCCGAGCGAGGCGGAGGGTCGGTATACGAGAGAACCCTTGGCGCAGCCTACATTGGTGGGGGTCCACCGAGTGCTCTATGATGGACACCGGATGCTGGAAGGACAAACGCTATGATGCGTGCTGCCTCGGAGGAGCTCGTTGCAAGGCACAGTGCTTACGCCACAATATCGATGAGATCGATCAGTGGCCGCCACTTACTTGCCACCATTCGCATGCACCTCATGAGTGGACTCCTTACCTTCAGGACGGCCGGACGATCTATCCATCCAAAGAGGAGGCCGAGTATACGGCTGTCTTGGCCTTCGCTATCGCGGTCGCAGCATCGTGGTGGGCCGGGCGCGTGGGTCGCGCCAAGTTGCATGTTCCACGGCTGCCGCAATTCGAATGTGTCGGAGCCCGCGAACATTGGCTGGACCTGGACCCCCGGGCATTACGGGAATGGGCGATGGCGCCCCTCGCCCTGGGGCTGGGCCTGTATCCACCAGATCCGAGTGAAGCTGCCCGGATCCCCCGTCGGGCTCAGGTGGATGACGTCCTCATCGAGAAAGGTAAGTTGCCGCCCAATCATATCTACGTAGGTCAGGGCCGCGGCTCTCATCGTCTGGCGAAGACCAAGTGGGCATCCCCGGTTATCCCCGGCTTGAACAGTCAGTCTAATGATTGGTTATGGCGCTACGTCGCCTACCTCTATGAGTCCGGCCTGGTGAACAACCTCTATGAACTGCAGGGCAAAGTGCTGGTCTGTGACGGTCCTTTCTGTGATCCTTGTGAGGCGGACGTGCTTGCGGGCTTGTGTTTTGCAAGACGAGCCAGCCACGAGGCCGTCACACAATGCGTCGCTTCAGTCGGGGAGGGACCCCACCAGCCCGCCAAGTTCTCGTTACGGGTCTGCTCAGCACAGTACAAGGCCTCCCAACGAGCCCTACACGTTGGTGGAGCCAGGAGGCCCTGATCCTTGCTTTTCGTAAGTTGTACCCAGCTCACTTCTTCACAAATTTCCAGTTTCCGATGGTCGAGGATATTATCAATGCTGCCCCGTTCAATGCATTCCCTGTGAAGCTGCGCAACAGGCGTTACGAGACCGATGGACCTTTGGGCCCACACTTGGCCGACGCTCAAGTCCGCCAGACTCTCCGCACTGCCGAAGGTCAGCAAGTGGGTGCACTGAACCAGCGTGCAGCACTTCCTCCACTGCTATCCTACGACCTCAACCCTGATGAGCACTTCACCCAAGCGTTGGCGCGAGGCCGGGATTTGCTACCTACCGAGTTACCAGCAGTGCTGGATCTGGATCTGGCCTTTGCTGCAGACTGCCACGCTCACTACCGAGGCCGTCTACGAGATCTTCGCCGTACAGCAGTGCATGGGGGCCCTGCGGGAGCTCCATCGGCGTTGGTAGGACGACGTCTGCGGCAATTTCAACCTATCGCCTTGCAGGCTACCACGGCCACTCGCGACCTCGGCTTCGTTGCACTGTTGATCTTGTTGACTTCATGGCCGGATGTCACATATCCATTCGGGCTTATTGAAGGCCTCCCAGCGGTGGGCTACGCGCCGTGCTACGGAGTCTTTCCATCTCAGCCTGCTGAACGCATTACCCTCACAGAGGTCCTATCGGGATGCGAGGCGCACAATTACCAGATCTTGTCTACCCTTAAGCCGGGCAAAGATGACCAGTTCTTGCTAGAACAGTCTACTAAGGATGCAGCACGGGGATTCTGTACCCCACCGTTGACCCTGGCACAGTTGCGTCAGGCAGCTGCATGGGCAGCCGTATCGTCTGATCCCACGCTGTGTGATCACCCAATCCTCGGGTAAGCAGCGTATCATCGACAATGCTGATGCTGGAGGACAAACCTTGCGGTCGTCCGATGCCAATAAACTGGTACTGTGCTCGCCCCTCAGACCGGCCCAACACATCAGCCAAGTCCTACGCCATATGAGCCCAACTGAGCTAGCCCAAGCAGCGGCTACAGACACCTGGGAGTCAGGTGGGGAAGATTGGCCGGATGCCTATCGGCGCAGTCCTATGGGGGTCAACGAAACGCGAGGATGCGTGGTCACTTTCTGGCATCATGAATGGGCAGCCCCAGCCTTCCAAGTCTATGCTGGCCTATTGTTTGGTCTTCCTCTGGCTGTGACATCATTCAATCGATACAGTCGGCTTGTGGAAGCCCTTGGGCGACGTTTGTGCTACGTCTTAGTCTCGCTCTACTTTGACGATGCATCCATTCAGGACTGGTCTTCGAGCCGGGGGTCGGCTCAATGGGCATTTGGAGTATTAAACCAACTCCTGGGCACCCCCTTTGCGGAGGAGAAGCGTCAAGCCATGAACCCTAAGGGATTATTCCTAGGCCTGGACCACGATCTCTCTGCAGCCCTGTCAGGGGGCTTTGTCTCCTTTTGGGCGAGGGAGCGCCTGGAATCCAAGTTGAAGGCCATTATCCATGAATGCCGTGAGACACAAACTCTCAAGCCCGGTGTGGCGGCCAAGCTGTACGGCTTAGCCAACTTCTTCGAACAAGGCGTCTACGGACGGATTGGATGCGGAGGTCTCCACGCTATTAAGGAACGTCAACTTGTCCGGGGTGATCAGATGACTCCCGCCATTGAACAATGCTTCCAAATTCTCGAGGCCGTGATCTCTATCCATCCAGAGCGTGAACTTGATGTCTGGCCACGACACCATGAGGGCTTCGTTGCAGCGTCCGATGCTGCCTTGGAGACCCCAGGTGAAGGCACGGGTGGTTTTCTCCTCGTCTTCTTCCACGAGAACATCGAGCTTCGGCTTGGGTTTGTGTCCCACCTCCCCTCGTCCATCTATGACCTTTGGACTCCAGGAGATGCTAAGATAGCGCAGCTAGAGCTCTTGCAAGTTCTCATTGCGTTGACTACCACACCTGAGCGATTCCGCAATCGCCGCGGCACATGGTACATCGACAACACTGCTGCTTTGATGGCGCTCATCAAGGCAGATCAGACAGTCCTGACCTCGAACATATGAGTCACATGATTCATATTCTTTTGTTTTCACTTAGATGCTGGATTTACTTTGAGTGGATCCCCTCCAAAAGTAATTGGATTGACGCGATTTCCCGTGAGGGACATGCGGATAGATGGTACCACGACCAGGGTTTCACTAGTCGAGTGGCCACATTTTTCGAACCACTCTGGTATTTTCCCTTTTCCGTCACTCTGCGAGTCGGTCTCTTCCTTTAAAGTGCGTTGGGAGAAATGCATTGGGTAGATACATCGCTATGGATACGTCTGGGTGGACGAGTCTCCA